TTATAAAAAAAAAACGATTTTAATTACAATGTAAAAAATATATTTTATGCGAATGTTCCGCAAAACATCCGCAATTGGAAATCTACCTTGTGTGTGTGTATAACATTATAGGGATAGGCGCTTAATTATCACGTATCACGTTTAAATACATAAGGTAATATTGTACTCATTTCAATGATAATTATTTTATTTATTATTGTTCAATCACATTATTGTAATCAGTGCAGGAGAGTGTATCTACATCTATTGAAAAACAAAAATATTCTCCAAAAATAAGAAATAATACAGATGCAACTACAGTTGCGGCTATTGTAATCACTTTTCTTGTAGTAGAACATTCACAGAGCTACTTATCTTTACAATGTGCGTAGAATCTTTCCACATAATATTTAACGACTCCAAGATAAATGAAAACTTTACTTGTAGAACAAAAATGAGCAAATATATCATCAATGTTTTAGAACCTGAATTCAGGAGGTCAATTCTTGACGATTAGAAAGATGGGCATACATATGCAATTCTAACAGATACACCTTAAGGGAAATATTAAAATATTTACCTTGATCCTCTGCTATTTTAACAAAATTAAAGACGTTTCAAGGAAACGATTAAATTTTTTCCCTTTAAATAGTAAAAAATCCAAAGGCATAATTAACCATATAATGGTAAATATAGCAGATTCGGGATTATAAATTGCATGTCAGCTTTCTGATCTGATAATGTCTCAGTGAATTTGGAAAAAACCAGAGTGTATTTACAGAATTGAGTCAGCACAATGTTGGTTGCGATATGTTCCTAATACCCGCCATCGATATATTCTTAAAATTTTATAAACCTTTAAAAATATATTTCTTAAATAAAGATTATAAAAGTTGTCCTAACATTTTGAAAATTTTTTTTAATAATGAATGGCAGAGGTGTATTTAGGATTGATTTCACATGTAGGAAATCTACTACATGCTATTAATGTGCAGTTGCAATCAGAAAAATCTTAACAAAGATTCACAAAATTATGCTGCAGATGTGTTCTTCTTTACAGTTAAAAATTGACAATAAATTTTATGGCGCCATTTATAAAACTATATTAAAATATATTTAAAAAAAACCGATAGACATTGATGTCTTGTCTGAGGAGATTGTAATGCTCTCTATTCTTGATTTACAATATAAAAAATATATTTATTTTATGCGAATGTATAAATAAGATTTCAAAAATATAAAAAAAATATGGAAAATTAAATAGTTATAATGTTAATTATATTTTATTTGAGATTTAAATAATGGAACTAAACGTTTACCGTCGTTAGTGAGATATTTATAAAATTCATGGCATGACATATTATAAATATGTTGTTAAAGCAATCCGATTTCTCTCCTTTTTCCAGGCAGTCCTCATCAGGCTAAAAATGCGCTCGGGTAAGGCATTAGAATGAGGTAAGGAGAAGACACTCGCATATTTTTTCCAAGCATGGGGATTTATTGTTACTACGAAAAAATTCAACCTATTTCTCCTCTACTTTTGAACCATCTAGCTTTAAGTATTATTGCTATTCATAAAAAATAGAGAGAAAAACAATCTCCTCAAACAAGGCATCAATGTTTTTCAGTATTTTTAATATATTTATTAAATTACAAAAACCATCAATTGATGGTTTCTGTTCCAAGGTCATATTTATACATTTGTAAATAGAGTTGTTAAAATTTTTGATTGTAAATTTTCTAAAATTGTCTTAATAAAAATATCTGCTTCATTCAAAAATGTATTAATTAGAGTATTATTTGAACATTTTAATATAATATATTTAGCAATAGAGCCATAAAATTTATTATCAATTTTTAACTGTAGAGATGAACAGAGCTGTAGCATGATTTTGTGAATATTTATTAATAAAGAATATTCTGATTACAACTAAATATTAACTGCATGAAATAGATTTCCTACATGTGAAACTATTCCCAAATATGCTTCTGCCATTTCATAATCCAAAAAATTTTTCAAAATTTTAGGACAGCTTTTAAAATCTTTATTTAAAAAGTATTTTTTTAAGGGTTTGTAAAATTTTAAAATTCTATTGATGGCAAGTATTTATGATAACCACCTGATAGGTACATATCGCAAAGACTCACACCATTCCAAGTCAGACCACTCCACCAACTCTTTTAATTCATTGACTCTTTTATGATGAACTAAATTCGTTAAAACATTTCATCACAATTATTTCGACATCCATAGATAGTACATTTATTACCTTCTTGCAAGTATCATGTTGTATATGGCATATACAGCCAATTGTTATTAATTCATTATTGTGATGCCTCAATTAGGTTAATACACTTTGGCCAAAATTTACAGAGGCATTATCAGCGCAGATAGCTGACATACAATTCATTGATAACCCTGAATCAGCTATATTTACATTATGTGGTTAGCTAGATCGTTGGATTTTTCACTATCCGAGGAAAATATTTTAACAGTTTTATTGAAATGTTCTTATTCTAGTTGAAATAGAAAAGGCTCAAGGGAAATGTTTTAATATTTCCCTTATTAGATGCATCTGTTAGAATTGCATATGGATGCTCATCTTTCAAATCGTCTAGAATTGACCTCTAGGATTCAGGTACTAAAACCAAGTAAGGTTTGCACTTATATTGGAGTCATTAAATATCATGGGAAAAAGATTCGACCAACATTTTGATGATATAGCTCTTTGAACTACATAATAGGTTTATACGATTTCTACAGCTCTAGTTGCATCTGATTATTTATTATTTTTGGAGAATATTTTTGTATTGCAATCGATGTTGATATACGATATACTCCCCTATACTGACTTATATGAATGAAATGATGTTGATTTATTGGATAAAAATAAAACAGGATAAAAAGAAATTTACAAATTAGACATAATTTTCCAAATATTTAAAATTTATTTTAAAAATATAAAAATAATCAATTACTGTCTCTCAAAATTATTATTTATATATTAAAAACGTTAAAATACTTTTTAAAAACATTGCGGGAGAAATTAAAAAATTACGGTAAATTTTTGCGGGAGATTTCCAATAGCGGTAGTTTTGCGGGAGAGAGATGTCTGCATGTAAACGAAAAAATTGCGGGAGCCTCCCGCTGATGGGGAGAGACATGGCAACCCTGTCAAAATGTATAGTAATATTTAATTTTTTTTTTAATTCCATTTAAAAAAAAGTTTTTTAAAAAGTTATATAGATATAATGCTGGGTTGGTTTATATCAATTCATATTCTTAGATATTATTTTTAAAACCAGTACCACCGCCCAATGGAGAGATCCACTATTCAACGCAATACTTTTCTTCAAAATATGAGGCAATGTAGAGATCTGCAGCTAGATGTAGGGGAAGGGGGGATTCTCCTTCTTTTGGATGTTAATATCATTTTAAGCGAATAAGTATTTTCCCCCTATATACACACCCCACGCCCCTCTCTCTTAGAAATGTACATAATATCACTATAAAGAATAATTTGAAAAAGGTAAGGGTTAATAATTGTTTAAAAACCACATAAAATAGAATTTTTAGAAAAATAAAGTAAATTCCAAAAATTATTTTTATAAAAATATAACATAACCAATGGCTTACTAAAAGTGTACTAAGAAACCTCCTATAAAATTTATATGGGAAAATCCATCCAATATTATCCCCCCCCCCTCCTTTTAGTAAAATATAGGCTACGCCTGTAGGTAGCAGGTTTGGTGTCTAATAAAATATAAGAATCTTATATCAACCCTAATTGCTATTGCAATCCACATACTTGGTTTGGATAAATGTTTCAAGCCAGGATCAAACTCAGGCTAACCCTAACATTATTAAAATTATGGTCTAAAAAAAAATAACAATTTTGAGGGGACTCGAATCCTGCGCCCCTCCCCTGATGCTACTGTTGTATGTTTTGCTAATATATTTTTAACACAATATAACAGTATCTCAAACTTCAAATAAAATCAAATAATATTTCCCTAATTTCAATCTAAATAAAACAAATTACCACAATAATCTGGTATTTATACCATACGATTTCTGTAATACGGTATACACTGGATAATGAACAATTAAAACGATAATTTATGGGCTTTTAATGCATTACATAATAATAAACCTTTTTATCTATTTTTGTTTAACACAGAATTAATTCCAAACATCTCATTAACTTCCAAAATACAAAAATTTTAACAAAACAATTAGTAATATTTATAAAAAGAGGATAATAATAGAAGCCATTGAAATTTACAAAAGTCCTTATAATCCTAACCGAAATAAAGTGTATTCGATTCCTTCTAACTAGCATCATTTACACTATTTTATTAAAACTAACAATTTTTCTACAATAAATTTATTTCTATATTTCTTATTTAATTATTATTTTTTTATATGCTTAGATTTCGTTTTTCTATTTCGTTATTTTTTATTTATTTGATACTGATGATGCACAAATGTTCATCAAAAATTATAATTTTTTTTTTACTAAATATGATTATATAACAATTATATGTATAATCTAAACATTTATTAAATAAATATTCCATATATTTTTCTTATTATGCATTCTAACTGATCATATTTCTCTAGCCCCTACAAGTTCTTAGCTTGGGCCACAAAGTTTAGTTTCATATCCTAGCCCTAAGATAAGATGTTCATTATAATAGATATAAATAAAATTAATTGTTCAAATAAATAATTAACATTGACTTTAAAATAATTATAAATTTTCTTATCAAAAATTAAAATCTAAATAATTATTAATATTCTCCCTTTTAGAAATTTTAACTTGAAATTGATTCAAACAATTCTAAAATAATATATAGATATTCAATTTGAGCAAAAGATTTGTAAATATATTTAAACAAATTTTAGAGGAAAATAAAATGTTTGCTTCTCTTTTTTTTACTATGATTAACTTTGAAAGCCTGTAAAAATTTTGGGTATTTAATAGACTTTATCGGCAAAACATATGTTCCAAATAAATTACCATCTTTCCATCAGATGCTAATTTAAATTTTATTTTCATAATGCATTTTTTTTCCACATTTCTGATTTATTATTTCATAATCACTAAATATGTATATTGCTCAAATTGTTCATATAAAAAGGTTATATTAGCTATTAGTTTTCTAAAACCATTTTATTTAGAAATGTAATCTGGGTGAGCCTGATATGATAAATGTGCATATTGTAGCACATACACATGATGATGCTGGTTGGCTTAAAAATGTTGATGAATATTACATAGGAAGTAAAGATTTACGTTAATAATAACTTAAGTTTATTGGTTTTATTGCCATTATGAACAGTTTTTTCACAGCACCTCATATAAAAATTTAAGCATTCAACCACTTTTTATTTGTTTGGCTCCTAAATTTTCAGGTTGTTCCTGTTGTAATGTTTGCTGTACCACTGATAAAGAAGGCCATTAAATATAAATTTTATATGATAATTTTAAAAATATATATTACTACCTGTTATTTATATCACTTTATTTTATCATTCAATAAAAATTTATAATTTAATTTTATTTAGGCAAAAAATTTATAGATAAGGCTGGTGTTCAATATATCATTGATTCAGTTCTCAAAAGTTTGGATGAAAATCCTGATAGAAAATTTTCTTATGTAGAAGGAAGTTTTATGCAAAGATGGTTATCAAGGCATGAATTTCAAAGACACCAAATACAACGTTTTGTTGATAATGGTAATTTAATATTATATCAAAGTAGAGATCTGCAAAGTTAGGCCTGGCCTGTACCCAGCCCAAGTCCAGCCCGGCCCTAAATCAGGTTTGGGCTAGGCCGGGTCAGGTCGGACCTTGGAATTTATTTAAAATATATCTAAATTTCTCAATTTTATATTGAATTTCTTATGCAAAATAAAAATATTATTTATTGTTTAAGTAATTATAAAAATTAATTTCTATATTTAAATAAATTTGGGCCATGCCAGGCTGGCAAAACATTTTTAAAAAAAATTCGGGTTTGGGTTCCGCTGGCAAAACTTTTTTAAAAAAATTTCAGTTTGGGCCGAGCTTGAAAAATTAGGCCCGATGCAGATCACTATATCAAAGTCTTTTTCATTTTAAATTCTTTAATGAGGGATTGGTAAAATAAACAAATGGTAAAAAAAAGGAATATAGTAAGACCTCATTTATAGCAACCATGTAAAATTCAAAATAAAGTAAATAATAAGCATTTATAGTGCTGTTGAGCAATGTGATGGATGAATTGCTATGATATCACTTATCTATATTCATCTTATCACTTAAACATCACTTTAGTTATGATAAATGAAGTCTAATCTATATTTTAAAATTGGGTAAATAGATTATTTTACAATATTTTTTTTTCTTTTGTATCATCCTGGGCAGGACCAATATTTTTCTCAAGTTGTAGTCATAGATATATGGGTTAAGGTAATAAATATTAAAAATAATGACTCAATAGCTACCATTTACCGAAAGAACTGTAAAATTGTAATTCACTATTAAATCATGGCTTATTTTTTTTTACTTATAAATAAATTCTACTTATCATTTATTTAAATGTATATTTTTGTAAGTTTTCTATATTATTTTTCGATAGGTAATGACAACTTATATATACTGATTATTCCAATCACCAAGAATTGGTAACAAAAATACAAATCTATGTTGTACAAAATGTTGCATGATTCATTTTATGGATTTTATTTACTGTTTAAATTTTTTGAAATTTTTTTTAATTTTAGTAGATTTTGGAACCAGTATCCATAACCCTCAAAACGGGGGTAAGATATATTGTTGGCTGAGTATAAGTCTAACGATATATTGGTGTTTTTATATCAATCTTTTGCAAAATCCCTTCATTTGTATTTTTTCAATAAATCAATCCTTCAGTACTATATCTCTCCCTATCACCAATAAAATTTTAAAATTTAATTTAGAATAATTCGTTATTTGCATCATTATGGCGTGATCTCCTATCTAAAATACAAGATATCATTTTTTTTAGATGATCTCCTGAAAAATTATAAATGTGCTTTTCATATAATATTTTATGACTTCACAAATTTTCTTTACAAAAAATCATTGTTTTGGAGTGCTAGATGTGTAGCTCAGATGTTAGATACATTTTTTATGAAAGGGCATGACAATGGTTAGATCCCAGCACGTGAGAGTATGCTAGTTAAGATTAATATTTTTGCTTTGGCGAATTCGTAGGGTTAAAAAACCTGAAAAATTAATTTTAAATATTTTATTTCGCTGCCTGATTATTATAGGGTTCTATGTCCACTCAAATTATTTTTTTAGGAAAGCAAATTTAAAAACAGTACGATTTCTCACAAAAACTATAAAATAATTTTGGACAAATTTTTTTCACCAAATTTAGATAAACTTAAACTAGGATAAATCCATTTTTTAATTTTATTATATACTATAATTTCTTTGGAAACTGCAAAAAAGGATTTTTGAAAAGTGGTGATAAAACCTTATAGCAAATTTAAGAATATTAAGATCAAGACAAAGTATGTTTTACAATCTCTCTCCATATGGTTAAAACTATAAATGACTAAAAAAAATATTAAACTTTAAATTGCAAAATTTTAACAAATGTTGCTTGCAGATGGATGATGTAATATTAGATATCTGTAAAGCTAGGTTTGTTTGTGACCATTAGGAGTTTTGCACTATTTGTTTCGTCCGGCCCCTTAAATTTTTTTGCCCATTCCAGCCTGTTATAATATTTTGAAAAATTTGCTCTGTGTCTTGTTGTTTATCCAACCCGGCTCGTTATAATTTTTTTTTAATTTGCTACGCCTGGCCCGGATTTAATAATTTACTTTTATGCATAGCATTTCATCTGTTGCCTAATTATATTGGCTACTATTTTGTCCTACAGGCGGTTTTTTTAAACCTTCATTTCGATAGCGCCTATTTTTGATGTAACTGTCCAACAAACAACCAGAGTTGGGCAGGTCATTGAAAAAGAATCTGGATATAAATAAGATAGAGATTCTTTATAAAAAAAAGTATCTTCAATATAGTTATATGTAATTTGTTAAAAATATCAATATGATATAAAATACTTGATGTGTTTTTTGTTAAATACGAATATCATAGTTTTGAGATGCTTTTTATGAAATATTTTATATATTCTTTCAGCACAATAAGCCATAATGTCGACGAGGAGTTTAATATAATCCCGTGATTTTCAAAAAATCTACCATATATTTTCCAACCACCTGTTATATAGGATTTTTGTGCAACAATAAGAATGGGAATAGAGAAATATACGAATCAATCAACAGAAGGACATAGAGAAATATCATATATAAATATTGATTTTCACGAGCTAAAAGATAAATTTTAATTAAATGATCAAATTATCTAAAATAATAGCAGACACATTTCGACGATTATAATAAAATATTCTTATATCATTTATATAAATATAATTAAAAACAAAAAGAGAAATCATTATATAAAAAATTTTTTTTAACAAATTGAAATCACCCAAATGTTATTATTATACTAATACTGTGTCAAAAGAGCGATCTAAAATGTTGGACAGTGAAAAATGAATATATGTTATTCCATCCTATAAAATAAGATTATTATTATTTTAATACAATTATCAATTTAAGTATGAACAAAAAACATATAATTGAATTATTTCATTTGCATACAATAATGAAGTTGGTATGCCAAAATATAAAATAACAATGAATTTAAAATTAAAGATAGGAAAAAATAAACAAAATTAATGCAAGTATTCACGGAGAAAAAAGGTTAAAAGCGAATTTTTTTTTAAACAATAAGTATACATAAGTGTATAAGAAAATTAAAGAGATAATTTTTTTTAAAAAGTAATTTTAGACACATAAGTATCTTATTAAAAACATCAAAAAGATATGGAGTATAGGATACAAAACAGTAGAAAAAGCTTTAAGTGTAGCCTAAAAAAATTAAAAATATATAGGGGTAGGTTAATCAAATCTTTTCCTTCTTACATTGTTATTTAAACCCATTTTAAAAATAGGGTCCAAATCCGATCTGAATAAAATTAAAGTAAAATATTCGATTGAGAAAAAGGACGATTTTTTAAGAAAATCCAAAAAAAATTTATGTATATGTTTGGGCTCAAGAATGTTTAAATATCTCTTGCCGGAATTTTGTTAACAAATTTATTAATGACCGATTTTCCAAAACGTGAAAGAAAGAAAGAAGAAAAATAAAGGTCTTTCTTCCTCTCTTAGTAACATTTTTATTTTTCATCATGATAATCTTGTTATATAAACGCCAATAATGGCACGTTAAAAATGGTTGTGAACCACCACATAATCAAAATTTTCTAGTTTAAGGGGAACCGATGGGGGAGGGGGGCGGTTGTATTTAAAAAAAATTATATATTCGTCTATATTAGACTAAAATTTATTTTATCAAACTCTTAAATGCTGGTTATTTTTATATCCTATCGATTTTTGAATATGTTGTGTAAATTCATTTTATTGTATTATCGTGATAGTAAATATAACAATAAAATTATTTTAAAACACAAATGCTTAGGCTGGCTTTGTATTGACTTCTTTATAAGAATCCCGGGAAAAAAACCCCCGGAATTTTTTTTCATATTTATAGAATTTAATTAAGACCTAATAATATAGGTATATTTTTATTTGGATTATAATGGATATACTCATATTTATAAAGTATAGACAAGTTAGATTATAAAAATATAATTTATTAATAAAGCTAAATTTTTTAGGCCCTAATTCATTATTTAAAGATTACTCATATACCCTCCATAAAAAAATGCTTCTAGATAAAATGTTGATGTTCAAATTGGTACTGGGGAATAAATAACCCATGTATTTCTTATTTTCGTAAAAATAATTTGCTATGTTAATAAATACAAAATCCATCCTTAATTACTATATTAAGTAGACTATATTTGACAAAATTTTGTTATAAGATATATTTATTTTATTGGTAAATCATGATTATGTATATGCAAATTTAAAATAATAATTATATGAATTGACATCGAATTTTGAAAGAAATCCCTCTTATAAAATCTGGAAAGCTTCGCACTCCATCACGGTATTCCTTACAAAGTTTCTTTAACCGAATCTGGGTATTACTCTGCGATTTTGTTTTCGGTGTCCAACTAACTACACGCCATCGTTTAAGTTTGGTTTCATCGGTAGCCAGCTTGCATTTTATTTTTTTAATCAATTCCCAGATTGATGTGTGTTTATTCCCAACCAGATTAGAAAAACGATGATTCCAAACTTCTCATTGATTATATATATGTTCTTCATCGGATAGAGTCTGATTCACGTTTCAAGTTTCTGGAAGAAATTGAGGCTCAGTTCGACGTGTCTGGGATTGAGAATTGTTTCTTGTGACCTTCCTTGATACTCCATTGATATAATTTTTATCGAAATAATCAAGAATATCCTTACCATTGATCGGAGTAACTGATCTCAGGAATGTCATTGCATTGCCCATAAGGAACAAATGCTATGTCGTCCATCATGCCATAAAAGCTTAGAGTTTCATCAGTCCTGTATTAGCTTTCCAGATCTAGCTTCTGAATTTTTCTATGGGTACTTTGACACAAATGGTAAAAGCATCCTCTGATTTTTTTTCCATGCGGTTTTTTCCCAAGGGTTTGTTTCCGGGGAGTTTTTTCCGGGGTGTTTTTTTCCTATTCCCATACTAAATTATACATAATGATGTTATAAAATGTAATTATTAAAATCGTTTTATAAATATTAAATTTTGTTTTTTAGGTCAATTAGAAATATTTGTTTTATAAATATTAAATTATTTTTTTAGGTCAATTAGAAATATTGTCGGGCGGCTGGGTAATGAATGACGAGGCTTGCTCTCACTACAATGATATTATAAATCAAATGACTTTAGGATTAAAAATGTATAAAGACACGTTTGGAGGTTAAAAACATGTTTTTTTAAAAGAAAATATTATAATATCTTATCATAATTAATTATCTATTAATTTCCTTCTATTTAAAATTAAATTCGGTAATCAAATGAAATCCCTATTTATGTCATCCTTTTTATGCTCTTAATAAAAAAAAATTATAGTTAATTAATTAGGTTTATTTAACTTCTTAATAAATTTCAAAGTTTTAACAAATATTCTTTTTTTAAAATTCATTTTTTAAAAGAGTTGTAACCAAAACCCTTATATCTTTGTACAATATTTTTTATGAGTGTTTATATTGGTAAATAATTAGTTTAATATTAAAAGTAAGTAAGTATGCTTGTATAAATTTGTAAAATTTCGATAAATTAATAGGTTAACCATATTTTTAACATTAAATCTATAAAATATAAATAAAATTGCTACCTAATTTATTTATAATTTTTTCTCGTGTTATTTTACTCTTATGAAGATCACTATGACTGTTAAAAGGTCCGATTCGGGTAGATTTTTAAAAACGACTCGATTAAGACTAACGCCAAAATAATATATTGTTAGCCTGGAGATTTTGCCCATAGATGGCAGAAAGGTTTAGACCTCAACTTGCCAAATCTCGAAATCTACATAATATTATTTTGGCTAATATCTTATTCGGGTCGTTTCCGAACCGGACTTTTTAACAACCCTAGTCAGGATCTGTATTTGGTACTGACCAGACGATAATCTAACTCTTCGCTTTCACTTTGGTTCAGTTGATACGCTGGGCATTGACTTTCTGACATTCACTACTTTTATTTTCCACCTCCTGAACTGAATTTAAATATAAAATAAATTTAGTCACAATTGATTAATAATTTTAAAAAATTATATATTCGGAAAGGTAAATTATTGATTAATTATTTGAAGAATATTTAATAAAATTGAAAAAAGGTTATTGATTTATTATTTATTTAATCAGTTGATATATTTATGGAAATTTAAGTTTTTAATATTTTATCAAGTCATTTTGTTTCATTATTTTTAAAGCTGGTAATTTCTCCTTAAAATGTAAGGTAAAAATACTAATTGAGTTATTAGAACCACATAAAATTCAATATATAAAAAATACATCATTTTTATACCAGTATAAAATTATTCATCAGCGGCTATGATCTACCCTATAAATTTATCATTTCTACATTTGCAATTTTTTTTTTTTATTAAGGAACATCAAAATCATCAATATTTAATAATATCATTATCATGTAATTTATCTAAATTAAATATTTATCAAAAGTATTGTTTAAAACATTTTATTATTTAAAATTTTTTCCCCAAATTATAATTATAATAATAATAATTTTTAAATTTCTTTTTAATTTTTTTAAAGTCTTTATAATGTATAGAATATTAAATCCACCATACACATACATACATTACATAATGATCTTTTCTAGATTGTGGTATCCCAAAAACCGGATGGCAAATAGATCCTTTCGGACATTCTGCGGCCCAAGCCGATATATTCGCGAAGCTCGGCTTTGACGGGACATTTTTTGGGCGAATTTCTGACGATTTTAAAGATACTAAATCATCTGAACGCGGATTAGAATTTTTGTGGCATCCTTTGCCAAATTGTAAATAAAACTACAAATTATTTAAATGCTAACTCAACATTTTAACCAAAAAATATTACGTCAGCCTGGAGATTTTGCTCTTAGATGGCAGAAAAGTTTTAACATTTATTAACGAAATCTCAACTTGCATAATATTATTTTGGTTAAAATCATAATTTGAAATCGGCAAAATGAAACTGCTTAACAACACTATTGTTTAAGTTTAAAAAAGGAACATCCTAATGATTAAGATATATTTGGGTATGATATTTCTTATTTATTATGTATATTAAATTTTATACATACTAGAGATCTGCAAAGCCCGGCCCGTTAAATTTTTTTTTAAATTTACCTTACACAGCCCGACCTGTTAGAATTTTACGAAAAGTTCGTCCCGGCGCGTTAAATTTTTTTGCACAAATTTTCCTGCCATAACATTTATAATATTATCTCTATCTAATTTTTTCCAAATGACAATTAAGGCTCGTATATCTTTTCTCTATGGCTTATTTATCTTTCTACAACAACCATTTTATAAATCAATTGTAATTGATGTCAGTATTGTGTTTGAAAGATCATATTCATATAGCTCTTAAAATACAAAGAAATAAGCATAATTTATTTTCAAATATTACTAATCAAAATTTTATGCCCGGGCTGGCCTTTTAAAATTTCACATAAAATTGGAATTTCCTGATTTTTTATATAATCCCTGCGAATTATATTTTTGGTCGGGCTTTTAGAGTACATGGTCTAGTTTTGCAGATCTCTAATACATACTCTTCTTTAATTTATAAAAAATTTGAGTATACTATCTTGTTTAAATTAATTTCGAATCCCATTATAATTATTACCCTTCTCGTTTTTTTTAGCTTAGTCAGATTCAGATGCGATATTTTCACCAATTTTTTTAAAAAAAACACGAATTTAAACTGTTAATGATTATTTAATTAATTTTAAAAATTAAAAATCGGGGAAAAAAGTTTCAGTTTTTTAACTTTAAATTGATATAGATATTTTTATTTAAATTTAATATAATAAAATGATATATCTATAATAGTTGCCGAGATGTATACAAGTACTGCTCAATCAATTAACGACACGACATCGAAGTCTACAACACCTAGCGATATGTTTATATCCATCTTAGACAATTTATACCAACCTCCTGCTGGCTTTTGCTTCGACATTTTATGCGACGATGATCCTATACAAGTAGAATTACTTAAGGAATTTATAATTTGATTAGTTTTGACATTAATTTTGCTCATAAATATTTGTAAATTACTTTTTTATCTCGTTAGTTAGCATTTTTAAATGATAAAATGCCATTTCTTCAGTTCACTAGACCTAACTAAACTATGAGGTATAATATTTCAAATTAACGAAAACTATAGGCGCGTTTTATATATTAACCCGTGCCTTTAACTGCGAAAGCAAAATATCCGCTGAGTCCAGTCTTAATGACTACATAATATCAGCTGAGCCAAAGTGGGAATTTAGTCTAAATGACTTTAGTATGGCATTTTATTGGGAAGGCATGTTAATGAAACAGGGACTTGAAACATTGTCTTTTTTTGTTTCATAAGGTTTAGTCCCTGCTATCACGAAGAGATAAGTAAATCAAAAATTTGTTAAGATTTTTTAAGCATCGGAGAAAACATGGAGATCTAACCTATTTTTTTGTTCAAAATATTTGTTTAAATGTTTTTGGATTATTACAACTTGTCTATAATTTGACCTTTTGTAACATAAGAATTTAATTCTACGAAGTATTTTGTCCTGAACGATTTCTTTTCTATTATTATTAAGGAAAGGTTTGGATTTAGATGTGAAAATGTTTTGATAACATTCCATCAATTACAGAGGTTGAAACCATACCCTTGAGTCCCTCTTCTTTTAAAAATTACAGAAACCAAAACCTATTTGAGAACCTGTTTCGTTTTTATAAGAGTGCGAGTAATTAAATATATGTGTTACTTGATTTATTTTAGAGAAGTTTTTTCTTTGATTATTTTGACAAGCAATTTGAAATCGGAACTTAGAACGCTCTAATTCTCGTAATTAAGAACTGATAACAGAACCCATTATTGAAAATTTTCAGGAGGCAGAATCTTTTTTAGTTCAGGTTCTAAAATTTGATTAAAGCTAATTACCATTTTCTTAGTTTCGCTTATAAGTTTATTTCGTTGATTAATTAACCATTTTTTTTGATGATAATTAAGAAATATTAAAGAATCTCGAATATTTTCGTAAAGACAATTATAAAAAATATTATTTAATTTGAATTTTTTTTTCTTATTGGTGGCTCATCTCATATTAGACAAGTTGCATTTGTTAAAAGTACTTATATTTACAATTCCCAATTTTTTTATCTTTGATTCCTATTTTTGGAACATTAAAACATCCAGAGATGACAGTAATCCTACATGCATATTTCTTATCCATATTTATGAAAAATTCTGCATTTCAACGTTAAAACAAATCCAATAAATTTTCATTAAATATTTTATCTCTAAAGTAAACAGCTATGGAAGTTTTCTACTAAACCAAAAATATTTATAAAAAAAATTTTGTGATAATTTACAATATGACCATAGTAATTCTTCAGGTAAACTCGGAGACTTAAACTTATTATTAAAAATCTTATATAGAAATAAACTAATTTTACATGTATACTATACTTGGGTCGGTAAATAGACCCATATTGGAAATTATTAATACTAAAATTTAGTTAAAATTAAGGAATTTGCGCAATTTCAAATTGTAAATAAGTCTAGCTCAAATTTATGTTTAAAGTGAAACCAAGCAAATCAAGTTAATTTTTTTCTTCTATAATAAGGCTAAATTTAATATTCGTTCAAAGAAAAAATTGTTTTACCTCATTTATTTGATTTCACTTAAAACACACATATGCTCTAGGATTTTTTTTAGATGTTACTTATCACTTTTATTTTTAAAGATCTTCAACACACAGCTATAAAAATAAAACAAAACAAGGATGAAAATACTATTTAAAAGAATATTAAAATTATAATTAACATACTATATCTATATTCTATATAAAAATATTTAATTAAAAGAAGAGAAATTAAAAAATAATATATTTAGGTGTGTTCGGTGGGGTTTAATGACCCATGTTTGGATATGTAGTTGAATCGACAAATTTCGATTGATATACTTTGTCGAAGGTAAAAGCCTTCTTTTGGAATACCTGGGATTAAACTTAACCTTTGCGCTATAGTTTTAAATAATTTTAGGGGTTGGGGTCCAAATGATCCACAGGTGTCTGATACTACCGGAACAAACAAAACATATTAAGGTGACTATATCTATTTGTTTTTGTATTTTCAGCTTTCGTGATGGAGTTGACAGAAAAAGATCTTACAAAACGATCTACTCATGTATAATCCCAAGCTAAGGGTAAACCTTGGCTCCAAGGGACTAGCGTCATTCCATCCGGTCTGGTTTGATTATCAGGGTAAAGCCAGAGGGTTCCAGCGTAGAAGGAATATTTGTGGATTTCAATATTTTATTGATGATTGAATTGATGGCATTGTTCCTGGGTAATCTGCCTTTTGAAAAACGACAGTGTAAGGGGTGGTGTCTAAGGCTATCGATATTAGTTTCACGAACACATGATGTAGCGTTACGATTTCGCAGCCTAAACAAAGACTATAGCTATTCTAAGCCCTTCGTTAGTAAGCAACAAGCCTAGATTAGAACTAGGTAAAGGTATATCTTCTAACCATTCGTATCCAAGGTGACATATAGGCCTATACAAAAACGTATTCGAATCGAATAGTGCATTATTCGTATTCGATAATAATTTACTATTTGAATTCGTACTAATAAAAAAATCTACTATTTGTATTAGCGAATTATTCGATTAATTTTCGAATAATTGAAATGAATTTTCTTAATAAAACAAATCATACTCAAATATATTGACAAATTTTTTTATTGCAAATTTGATTTCAAACAGAAAAAATTATAATAATCCGATGACAAATAAATATAATCAAGTTATAAACAAAATTAAAATATTATATTATTCATTTAATTTATAATTTTAAGCCAATTTTTAAGGCAAAGGGTTTTTCTTATATTTTCTTCTTTATACGACATGCGGTTTTTTGACAACAAATTAGTGCCAACTGAGAAAAGTCTTTCACACGCAGTTGATGTTCCTTGTATAGATAAATAATCTCTTGCCATTTTTGAGAGTATGGGGATCCTATGTGCATTTGTCTTCCACCACATTAATGGATCAGTATCACTCTTTGATCTTGATTCACTCAGGTAAAAATCGATTTCACATAGTTGAACATAATTTTGTTTAAAAACAATGTCAAGCCTGTTTTGTTGACTTTCATCCTTATTTTGGCAGTTGTAATTATCAGCAGCTTATAAAATAAAATGATATGTATTTAAATGGGGGTAAATTAAATACCTGTATATATGCTGTAGATCTCTTTAAATTTGTCTGTTAACCTGGATATATCAATATCATAATCAAGAGATATTGTTCTAGGATCCAATATTGTAGCTATTATTGCATCATCTGCAGTTAAATTGTAATAGCCCAACAATTTATCACATGCCACTTTGAAATCATTGTTAGAGGTTTTATGGAAACAAGGTTTCTCGTTTTTTAAGTGTTCAAGAATTAGAATATAATAGGGTATAACCAAATTATAAGTAGGATAATTTTCCCCACAAACCATATTTGTAGTCTCATACAAAGGCAATAGGATAGATTTTATTTTTACAAGATCGTCCCATTCCTCCTGTATGTTATGTTAATAAAGTATTATTTACCTATTTATAAATTTTAGTTTACCACTGATAATTGTTTTTCTTGAAGAATTATAATATTAGTTATAACTTCATTAACTAATTTTTTTATAGCAGGTTTTAACAATAAGCCCCTTTCAATCATTTGGTAGGTGCTATTCCACCTTATTTCATAATCCAATTTGGGTTTTAAAAAATTTATAGGAGGATTTAGTGAACTACATATATTTTTTAATAAATTTAATTTTTTAGGAGAATTACATATCATCCTAATAATGTTTCGTAGTTTTAAAATTGATGGATTTAAAATTTTTAAAATTTCTTTGGATATTAAATTAATAACATGAGCAAAGCATCGAATGTGCCCTATTTTATTGATGGATATTTTATAGAAAATGTACCAATAAATGTTTTATTATTAGCAGCATTATCTAGAGTTATATAAAAATTTTTATTCTCCAAATTATAATTTTTAATTATTTTAATAAAGGCTTTAAATATGTTTTCACCTGAATGTTGTTCATTTATTGGAGCAACATCCAAAATTATGTTATTTATTTTAAAATTATCATCAATAAAATGGGCTGTTAACCCTAAAAAAGGAACCTGAGTTAGGCTAGTCCAAATATCAGATGAAAAATTAATCTGACTTTTATTTTTGGATATTATATCTTTTACCAACTGTTCTTTTTCTGCAAATGTATTATACATATGCAATTTAAGAGTATTGGAGCATATTGATTTTATAGAAGAATCAAGATCATTTATAAAATTTTTAAAATCAGGTGAATTAACAATTTTAAAAGATAAATTATTATTAATAAATAATTTTAGTAAGTTATCTATATAATTAATTTTTTTAGATAAAGAAAAAGGTGATATAGGCTTTAAAAAAGTGTCAATTTTATTACTGTTTTTACAGAGATGTGAATGAAACCTATTATAATGATTAATAAGAGGCGATGTTGTTTTGCCTTTGCATTTAATAATGCTCTTGCAATGATTGCAAGCAGCCTTTTCACTATTGATCCCATATAATCGCTCTTTTTTGTGAAGAAATTTGTCAACATCAACCATAACTATTTCATCAGAATCATTCTCCTCTAACATAATTAGGCCAGTTAACAATATTTTATTATAAAGATATAATATATTTTTATATACCTTTGGTTTGTATATATTTTTATATACTTTTGGTTTGTGTAATTTTTAATATAATTAATTTTGAAAAAATACGGGAAATTAAAATTAAAATTTTTGCTAGTCTTTTTATAAACACATCACCTGTTAGATTGGCAGGTTATCAAATAGAAATGATAAATGTTAGATTTATTTTTTAAAAAAAACAATTTATTAAATATTACGAATTATTCGAATTGATTATTCGTATTCGGATAAAACATTTATTATTCGTATTCGTATCTATTCGAATCGAATATTCGAATTTTTTTTGAATAGGTCTAGTGGCATATGGCTGAGGCTGGAATTATTTGATCTGGCAAAGAGTCGTATTGTTGTCATCCTGTATACTGGGGTTGGGTTTAAGTGGAGAAAGAGCATTAGAGATTCTTTGAATAGCTTTGAAGTGTAAGTATTCGACGTAATACTGTATCAATGGTAAATTCCAGTCTCTTTGTCTTATAGAATTGGATATGAGCGGCTTGGAACATTTTTTCTCCAGAGGATTAATGCTGCCGCATGATGTGGGTCTATTGATATGCTTATATTTTAAAATTTAAAATATTTGGCATGATGCTATTCATCGATATATTGGAATTAAACAAATAGTTATACTAATTTATAGGATGATGAAGGGGCCAGTGATTACAATGTTCCCGAAAAAGTTAATGCTTTTCTCAGCTCCTTAATTAGGCAATCCAAAAATTACGATACAAACCACCTATTAGTTACAATGGGAAATGATTTTAATTATCAAGCAGCCGACAATTGGTATAAAAACCTGGACAAACTCATTAAATACGTCAATAAACAAGTTTTTTACCTATCTTTTAATTCTCGCATACATAATCGACCGGAACGGGCCCAAAAAATTATATTATTTTAAAAAATAAGACCGGGTCATGCTTAAAAATTTTTTTTTTAAATTAAAAAATAAATTTAAATTATATCATATAATCAGTTGTAAAATCATATAATAATTTACAGCCAAAATTATTCAAATAGTGTAATTTTAAAAATTCCGGGCCTGGTCAAAAATGATCAAAAATAAAAATCTGGACGGGCTTAATATTTTGACCTCTGCCTGTCTCTGTTATATAAACTAAATTCTACAAAAAATTACGCTTTTTGACTTGACCATCTCTTAATATGTTGTGGAATTTAACTTAGGTATGCAGTTTTTAAAAAAAATTTTGTTATTGCCCATCTTTTGAAGAACTTATTATATTAAGCCATCTTCATATCTTTCTTATTTAAACGAAGACGATTTTACCGAACCTACCTTGAAAATTACTAATAGCAATGTGTATCTTTTATCGAGATTATTATAAGAAGCACTAATGAGTATATAGGAAAAGGAGAATAATGATAAAACTTACAATAATTCTGGATTTTAAAAAACCATTTATATTTTATAAATTTAATATTTCAGAGAAGCCTGCCTAAATTTTCCTTAAAATTCAACCTTATATATTCCACGCCTGGATGTTATTTATATGCTTTACACAACGCAAAGGGAGACCTTAATAGCACTTCACATAGTTTAAATAATTTAAACTTATATAAATCCGAATTAATAGACAATAATCGACCTTTCAAATCAAAGAGACAGCCAAAAATATCAGATAACAATTATGGTGATTATTGGCCGGAAATTAACGGGGGTGATTTTTTTCCCCTGGTTAATTTTATTACGAATATATGGACGGGATATTTTAGCAGTCGACCCACGTTAAAGGGCATGATCAGAGACAGTAGTCGTTTTTTGCATGTAAATTATTTATTTATATAAAATATTTTAGAGAAAATCTGTTATAAATAACATTTTTACCAAAATAAGGAATACATCTCGAAAAAAATATATAATTATATCATATATTTCTCTCTTCTTTTCAATACTTAAGAAATATAATTTTCAGAATTTATTAAAGCATTTCCTTAACATTTTAAATATGAATCCTATACAAAGCTTTCTATAAACTTTGATTGTTATTAGTATTCTTAAGTCATACCAAATTTTTCTGGTTCTCATTTTTAAAATAAATTGATATCTAGTTATTTATCACAGATTTAAAGAAAAAAAGAGATATATTTGATGGAATCCATCTCCCGACATAGAATCCATAAGCGCATAGTTTGAAGGAACATTAAAATTATATACCATTTTTTTAACCAAGATTTGTAAGCAAATAGAATCCCTAAGCGGTTTAGATAGAAACCAAGATATCATGTCGCTAGAGAGAGCCCAAGCTATAGCTCAGCACCACGACGCTGTCACCGGAACAGCCAAGCAGGCCGTTACTTATGATTATATCCATAGATTGTATTTGGGACAACTGGAATGTGAAGTTTTAATCAGTGTTTTTATTTTAATTTTTTTTTTCGAGCTTTTATTAGCGTAAGTTTTTTAAAACAATAGTTATGAGATTAAAATTTAATTTTACTAAGATTTCTAAAGAACTTTTAGAGAGTAAAGGGATAAAGTATTTTTTCGTATGATATATTTTTCATTTTAAAAGGAATATTTGTTTCAGCAATTCTTAACAACTAACAAATCATAAGTTCTAAAATTATATTTTGTCTTTTTTTAAATTTATTAAAAAAATTTTTTTTAGTATTTCTTGAGAGTCAATGCAAATCATAAATAAAGAAGGTAAAGAGGAAAGATATTAATTGTATAAAACAAAACGTATTTTTTTTAAATTATAGGAAAATATTTTAACTAAATTTTAGTCTCACGAGTTTTCCCTAATCCAGAAGTGTTTCTGCTTTGAGGGGTCCTTAGAGGGCCCTGTCGGGGAAGGCCATAGATTATATGGTTTAGTAAACAGTGGCCGAACAGGTTAAACCTAGATATACATAAGATGGTAATCATTTATACTTAAAAATGAGACTATTTACCAAAGTGATCTTGGACAGACACCAGAAAACGTTCATTAATATTATATTCAGTACGTATTATGGGGTAATTTAAATACAAAATTAGTAAATTATAAGAATTAAGGACATAGAAACCACACGAGACTCGTTTAAAATTCGGAAGGAATCAAAAGTTTTAATCCAAAAAATAAATACGTGGAAAGTAGATTACGGAAAAAATTTCCACTAATATTAGTTTTATTTAAATCAATTTTTTTAATTGAAGGGGAAGAAAATGAGATTTATAAATAGAGCTTGGTCTAGTTTTTTAAACTCGTGATATTTTCGTTTCATATTTATCTAGAAATTCTGTTAATAGTGAGAAAATATTTTAAATAAATTTCTTATAAATAAAAAGATGGCCATTGAAGAAGGTTTGCAAAGATTGGCAGTGATCAAGCCTAACCAAAAGGTTAACTTTTGCCCTTTACTCAATATTAGCAATTGCGTTTTCACTCAAACACAATCAGAAGTTTGTCGTTAGATTTAGATCTTTTTTTTCTATTTATGTATTTTATATGCATGCAAGTTTATATAGCCTATCATTAACAGAGACTAACTAGGAGTACGGTATATCTAGTGTTGTTATAAAGCCCAGTCGATTTTAGAAAACGGCTCGATTAAAACAAAACCAAAATAATATGATGTAAGCATTGAGATTTTGCTCATAGGTGGCAGAAAAGTTTGGGCATCTATTTGTCAAATGAGGAGTTTTACATTTTGGCTCTTAATTGGGCCGTTTTCAAAAATCCCAAATCGGGCTTTTTAACAACACTAGGTATATCCCAGCCCGGCAAAAAAAAAATTTGAAAAATTTTTTTTACAGTATAAGCCGAAGCTTTTAAAAGTTTTTTTAGCTAATAATTAAGCTAATTCATATCGTTTTACTTCATGAAAAATATACGGGGGATATCTTGCGAAAAATGACCGGGTAATAATTTTGGGCCGGACCGTAAACCCTGATAAAAAATTTATTCGGGTGCCAACCAGCCCGTACAACTTGGGATCGAGTGCGAAAATAGTATGATTTTTAAAAATTGAAGCCAAGAATCAAAATTCAACCTGAATCGGGCCAATTTATTTTTAAATTATGCCAACTAGTAAAAATCACGCTATAGAACATTTAAATATCCACTATTAAAGCCTCTAGCGAGCCTGTCCAAGCTGAAAAATGTTTACCTCTATAACAAGTCTCTAAATAATTTTATATAACAGTTGAGAAGTTTAATATATTATTTTATGTACAAATCAGTTCGATATACTACTTTACAATCCTTTGCCTTGGGACGTTGAACATTATGTCCACATTCCTGTAAGAAGCAATAATTTAGAAGTTTTCAGCGATAAGGATGAACCAGTTCTACAACAGGTATTTTTTTAAAAAAATAATGGATTTAAGTTTTTTTTTTGCAAATCTAATTGTATCTAACATTTTATCTAAATACATTAAATTAGAAACTATTATATTAAAATTTTTTAGCATGAAAAAACTGATATATTTAAATATTCCAAATAACTCATGAATCCATGAATAATGATAAATATTCTAGAATGATACGGCTTAAATGAGTGCGAACATTAAATATTGACATATATTATTTTACTCAGAATAAAAACTGAAACGCTCAGATTTTCAATATCCTATGCTCAGAAATATAAATATTTAAGGCTAAGATTTTTTTACTCATTTTCGCAATTTTTTTTCTTTAAAATCTAAGACGATTTTGCTAAATAGAAATTTTGATGGAACTTTTTTTATTGAATATATTAGAAGATAATTCAAATCTTTTACAATTTTTGCTATTTTAAATGTTTTTTATTTATAATTGCATTCAGCTTATGACCTATTCAAAAAAATATTTAAATAGTAATGATTACGACTTATTGGAATAGAATTGCAATGAATAAGAATAGTCAATTATTTGTTTTCAATCCATTAGAGAATTATATGATTCGAATAAAACAAATAATATGATGTAATCGAATAATTTATTTTAATTTGGTCGAATATTTAAATTACTCGGAAAAATTATGTTATTTATATTTGATCATTTGTCTTTTATATTGATTATCAAGCTAACAGGTATGTTTTACACGGTATAGATCAAATCCTTGTAATTTTTTCTTAATTGGAACTAATTTGCTGTCAAAAATGGTAAGTCTTATAAAGAAGAAACAATAATAAAGATATTTGCTTTAAAAGAAATGCTTGGCATTGAATTCAATTAATATGGATTTTGATATCATTAATAATATGACTTGCATCACATGTTTCATATTGAATACGAATAGTAAATTATTCTATTTGTTTAAATCAAATACAAATAATGCACTATTCGATTTGTATTCGTTTTTGAAGCCTAATATAGCTTATTTTTACCTTACATTATTTATGATATTTTGAGTGCTAAAATAAATCATCACTCAAAATTTATTACTCTGTTAATTATCATTCTTAATTTTCCTATCTAGATTATGCAGGAGAGGAGCGGGGCGGGGTTGACAACATTTTAAACATGGATACCAAGTGAAAATTTATTGACGTAATTGTTTAAAATATATCTAAGTCTTCAACGCCTTTTCGATCTGGGGATGTTATAATATAATATCTTAACATTGGCAGAAATTTCTACTCCCCCTACCTCTTAAGCTAATGACGATATTACCCCCCCCCCCCATCAATTTACCTTTTACCCTTATCAAATATTTACCCTGTACTCCTTCCTGCTAAATTAAAATTAGCAAAGAAAAGGAAATTCAAATCAAATTACCCTTCTAGCTGCCTTCAATTTTATTCAAATGACTATAACTTTTTTATAACTACCTATATATCTCAAATTTATCCTCCACCGGGGTAGAATTCCCGTCTATAGCTAGTAAAAATAACCCAAAATGATTGATTAAATTTATGTATCCTTAATATATTATGGGAATGGGTATGGACTATATATCTAGAAAATAATAATAAACTGTAAAAGATTAAATAATTTAAAAATGATATATTTTCTTTGATAAATTTTAAATATAGAAGCCAAGATATTTTTCAGTAAAAGATTCATTTTTTTCAAAGAAAGTTATCCAAGAAGTTATAAAATTTCGAATGTTTAATTTTATTTAAGCATTACCATATTTACAAAAAAAAATTTCAGTTTTTGAAGTAAGCCCTTTTAACCACGCATTTTTAAGAATTTATAATCATATACAAATTCTAAAAATTAATAGTACCAAGGAAAATTATTTTCTTAGCAATTAAGTGACTAGTTCTTGGTGTTTCATATATTTTTCTGAGCTCTTCATTTTTTAATCTGAGCAATTTTGATTTTTCTGGACAAATCTATTTTTTGTCTGAACATTAAAAATTAATTCTGACCATCTAGTATTTATTTTAACGTTTAGGAATTTTTTTTATAAGCATTTCAGTTCTAATTGAGCGATTAAATAAGAGCCTTAAACATTATTAATCTTGCAATATATATTGCCAAAGGGTATCTAGTTAAAGTTTTTCCATTTTTTTTAAAATAACTTTATAAATTAAAATGTTCACCTTATTTATAAAAAAAAATTAGCTTTCTTTCGTTCCACGCTCGATTAACCGGGTTCCTGAACGTTATTTAGATGCCGACCAGGCCACATTTCCATTAGATCGCCAATCTGATTGGACCCTCACCTTAAAGGCTGAAGTTCCAGCCCTGGGCACTTCTTGTTACCAAATAAAGTCCACAACAAAAAAGCAATCTGATGTATCCAAGCTCTTACTTAATTCGCCATATTATTATAAGCCTTTTCTTAGTGATATATCCACTCTAATGGATGTTTCATACAAGTTTGAGTTCGCTACTTTTAAGTCACGCTTGCCATATTAAATAATATTTACGAATAGATGATTTACTATTAAGTAATTCAATAATTTAATGGCTTTATTTTATTTGTTATAAATGTTTTATCTTATAACAAAGATCATATTTCTTAAAATGTATTATAAAGATACAGACAAAACGAAATAAATGCTAATCTTATACAACCCATTATCAAATCCGCTGAAAATAGTGAGTCTTTGCTCCTATCTCAAGTGCCTAGACAGAGGAAAGCGAAATCTGGTGCCAAGTTATTCTTAGAAAATAAGGTTCTTATTAGAATAATAGTTGGAATAATTTTAAAAATAAATATTTTAAGGATAATCATGTTAAATTAAAATTTATCATGAATATTAAAAAATGGTACAGAATTAGAGCATTTTTTAATATTTTTTTCTCCCGACAAAATTGCATCCCATTCAAGAATTTGAAATTAACTTTTGACCCCGACACTAATCAAATCCAGACCTTGGTTAACAAAATTTCGAAGTTGAAAGTTAAACTTAATCAAACCTTTTGGTGGTATGGGACCAGGTTAACACCTAGCTCTGGGGCTTACATATTTAGACCTAATGCGTATGAAGCTAATGATATATCGTCCTTTTTTGACGGCATTGATTTGGAAATTATTAAAGTGAATTTTTAATCATATTTTACTACTAATGAGAGGTAATTAAAAACGCATACTTTCTTTTAAGAGTTCTTATCAATAATATAATCAATTAATTAATTACTTTCATTCATGTTTTCCAAATCATTATATTTTAAGGGTCCTTTATTTCAGCAAGCGAGGCAAATTTTTTCTTCTTGGCTTTACCAAGAGATAACACTTTATGAAGGAGCATCATATTTAGAAATGGCTTGGACGGTTGGTCCTATACCAATACATGACCAAATACCCAAAGAAATCATTATCAGAATAGATTCCGACATTCGTTCTTCTGTAATTAAAAAAAACGTGGCTAAGCGAAAATCGAAAATCTCCAAAGAAGACGTGTAAATTTAATTTTTTTTGCCTCTAGTTTATCCATAAGTCAGTATAAAGCGTATCCCTTACTCAATCTTAAAAAAAATGAGTAAAAATTGTCATATCTTTAACACTTAACTAGGCTGTATCTTTATTTCAATTGATAACAAAAATAAAACTTTAAATAAAAAAAATGGAAATTGGGAATGATTTAATTAATCAGCATTTTAAAATAAATATTTAAAATTTTGCAAATAAAGCGAGTTAAGTTAAAGATATAAGTTATGTTTTTACGTAATATTTAGAATTTACATTTATTGGCATAACAGGGAGGGGGGGGGAATTCATCCCTTTGCCGCAAATTTGAAAGTTTTCTTAAATATTATTTTAAGCTAATATAATTAACCTTCCACCCATATTCCCTCTCAAATGAACCAATATTTTTTTAACTGGTTATTTAAAAAAAAATATATAATGCAGTCAAAGGCCTTCTAAACCTATATTTAAATCTTCCAAAAAAATTATGGGGGAATTAGGCCACTCAAACCCCCCCCCCCGTCTTCTTAAATGATGACATAAAGATTTATGATTATATAACGTCGTCTCCTAAAATATTTTTAATTAGCCCGTTATTTATTTAATCCTAAAATATAATCATAATGCCTTAAGAGATGACACCTTCTCCAAGATCAATAAATTTTACACCGATTCTAACGCTAGATTCATGGTTCCGCGGTCTGTAATGATATCTGAAAATATCAATAACACTCAGAATGATCAAAATTCAGAAGACTGGGATGTTAATTTTATATCCAAGCAGTATTATCCCGTCGATTCTAAAATATTCATTAAGGATGAGGAGGTTTGATAAACATTTATTATGTGATTATCTAAATTCAATATATTATTTGATAAACTATGATTGTTACACATTTTTAACTCATTATATAGTGTCTGCAGTGGCATTTTAGAAGGGGTTCAAAAGGGCATTTGCACCACCAAATTTTTCCCCATTTTATTTTTGGATTTTAACTTATAAATGAAGTTCTGATTATAAAATATCATATGATTTGTTATTTTAAATAAATATATTACGCATTTAGCCGAAATAATTAGATCAAATTTCTACATTTTGATAAATAACGTCTTATAATTTAAATCCCCCATTAGTTATATATTGTTGTTTTAAATTCTGTGATTTTTTCCCCCAAATGGTTGTCCTTGTGTCTTTTGTTTTATTTATAAATAAAATACGTTATTTTTTTTAGGGAAATGATAATAAATTACAAAGGCAGTTAGGAATAGTTAACGATAGAGCTCAAGGTGGAACCTCTCTAAAAGAAGGAAGCTTGGAATTGATGTTGCACAGGAGACTCATTTATGATGATAGTTTAGGAGTAGGCGAACCTCTTGATGAAATGGGGTCAAATGGTCAAGGTTAATGATTGTTTTATTTTAACTGTGTTAAAATAATTTCGTGTTTTTAATAATGTTCATGCACTAGGGGCTTAAACTTGTTTTTTGGCAAATTTTTTGAAATTTAAATTATTTATACCTCGCGTTTTTTAATTTTGTAACACCTGATTTTATCGGAAGCATATTCCAACTGGAAAACTTAGAGCCTTGCAAATAAGCTCGAGACCGACCTAAAAAAAATTCTGGACTAGGCCTAAAGTTTTAAAGTTCGGGTCAGGCTCAGACCCAAAAAAATATAGAAAATGATGTTTTATTTTTTTTTAAATCAAAATAAAATGATAATTAGATATTATCTGTGATTAAGACAAAAATTAGGCATTTTTTACTTCATTTAACTTAATAAAAATGAGCTTAATTTATATATTTTTTGAAAAAATTTAGGCAGACTCTTACCTAAAAATAAAAATTCGGGCAGGTTCGGATTTGAAAATCAATTTTAAAAAATTGAGCTCGGGCAGGGGTTGAATTTTTAGGCCACTATGATACCGAACTACAATTTTCTTAAACTTCTGAATTATAATATATATATAAATTAAAATGTACACAAAAATTTATACCAAAATTGGCTAGATAGTTGCTTTTCTTTATACATGTGGATTACGATACAGGAAAAATAAGGTCTTTCAAAAAATTTAAAAAGCTGTTTATAAATTATTCATGTTTCAAAAATTTCCCTAAAAACGGGGGTCGATGAAGTGCAATCGTAAGTTTTCTAAACTCTTACGACATATATAATTTATTATGGCTGCACCGATTAAATTTTTTGACCGTATCGATTCAATATTTGTTGATTAAATCCGATCCAATTCCAATTTTTACTATGATAATTTTTTACTTATATTGAATCTAGAAGGTGATCGTTTCAAACTTTTTTTATTAAATCATTTTGTAATTTAAAATACATGAAACATTCTTCTTTTTCTTTAAATCAAATTGCATCTTTTTTAAAATCGATTTTCATTCAATAAATTAACTATATAAACGTAAACTGAAATCAAAATTTAAAATATAAATTTAAAAGTATCACCGTATCACATCATTTAATAAAATAACTTTTAATAATAGACTTGATTTTGACAAACCCAACAATTATCTTAGGAGAGACTGGGGTTATGTGCTAGGTGTTTTTCTCTATTTTCATAAAATAAAAAATGGGACTTTCTACCTTTCATACTGTAGGTGCTATTTAATTAAGTAAAAGTCGTTTTACTATTTACCAACGGCCTTGGATAAAATGCCAAACTCTTCGGGTTAAAATGGCGAATGGGACTTATGGAGGTAACGCCTTTATAAAAAATTTTTAATTTAGCCTTCTGATATGTTAAAGACTAGTGGAATCACTGTGGTTTACCAGTCATTGTTTTACAAAATCTAATATTTTGATAATTCTTTTTGTAACTAAACGAATTTTGTTAGTGTTGTTAAACGGCTCGTTTTAGCCGATTTTTAAAAACGGCTAACTCAATTTTTTAGCCAGAAAAATATTACCTAAGCCTCGAGATTCCGCTAATTGATGTCTAGACTTTTGTGCCATCTATGAGCCAAATTTTTATGGCTTGTGTAATATTATTCTGGATAAAATATTGAGTTAGCCGTTTTTGAAAATCAGCTCAAATCGACCCGTTTAACAATACTAATTGTAACTGAAATTTAATAATTTTTAAAATAGATTTTGAGACTGATAGTTATTATTTTGAGTTAATTATTTTATCAATATTTTTCGATTTTCTTTATAAATTTTGTATAGTATTCGCCATTGACTTAAATGTGCTTGGATACTATCTGTTGATGTGTTCTATACCCTCACTATAATCCTTTAGAGCGTAAAATAATTAATATTTGTTCCTTTATACTTTTTCCTTTGAATCATTAGAATAGATTAAAATATGAGAATTCCATCTATAAGTTAAAATATTTAAAATCAGAATTTATAATAAAAATATTCCTCAATTTAGCATCTTTTATGCATTATCCATAACTATATTTGTAATGAAATTAAAATCCCTTTTTTATATTTTATAATAAGGGGTCTATCTTTTCAAATTATAAATTTAATTTAAAATGTACCTTTTTTTAATGTATTTAAATAAAAATATGAAGGCATTCATCTTTAACATGATAATGATATCATTTAAATAAGCGATATGAACATTTTATTATAAATCCCCACCCTTAAAGTTTAGTCTTATTAAATCTAACATTTTAAAACAATCGAATTCTGATTTAAATCAAAGCATCTTTGACATGATTAGCCCTAAAGATGAAAACGTTATAATCTTTTACCTTTTTACTCCACCTGTCGTACAGCTTCGATTTCCACTATTTATTTTGTTGATAAGATCTGTTTAATTTTTTTATAAACGCCCGAAATTTGGCCAGAAATATATAGCTATATGATTTTAGTGTCTAACCTGTATTTTGGATTAAAGTTGATTTTGAAACTGTCCAATTATTATTTTAAAATAATTATAGTAAAGGTATTTTTTGTCATATAGTGGAGGTGTCTTTCATAAATAAATAAACGATTGTTAATCTTAAATCTTTAATTAAAAAAATTTGAGCCTAGTGTTCACGTTCACACATATCCAATTTCTTAGATAATTGTTATTCTATAAAAAAATCCCCACATATTTTTTGAATAATTATATGGTAATTGATAACTACTAGAACGCAGATGTTTTAATAATCTCGCGGAGCCTTCATTTTAAACTTATACGGTTTATACACAAATGCAATCATTCCAAAAATTTCGATTTTTTTTTTCATTTTGTTATTTTTTCAGGTTTGGTTTTTAATAAATAGTATGTTATTAATTATCCACTGTATTTGGTAATTTTGTTTAAGTTTGGGTGCGTCCAAAGTCAAATTTCTATTTTAAGAAAAATAAATTTATTATCGAAATTTACGAAATTGAGTTTGGACGCATAATGTATAGCTAGTTACTTTTAAAATAAGATAACTAGTAACTGTAATTAGTTACATTTTTAAGAATATAACTAGAGCACCAATATATTACAATATATTTTTTCTACATGTAATTATATAGCATGTTTTTTCGGTCCAGTTATTTCTGTAATTAAATATTTTGATTTGAATTCTCTTTGATTAAAATTTTGTAAAATAGAAAAAAATTACATGAAAAATATTGAATGTCATTATTTACAAAGTAATTCGCAATGTAACTATTACTTTTAAAGTTTTACTGTAATCATTAACTAGAACTTGTACTTTTAAAAGATAACTTTTAACAACTATTATTTACGTTGTATCCAATTATTCTATTAAAATATATAAAGGTTTGATTGCGAGGGGGAAGAATTTGTTGGTTTTTGATAATACCTTGCAATGCAATAAATTAATGACGCAATTAGCTCAATCAGTTTATCTATCCCCTCAAGCCATGTTTTTAACGCGTAATGAATCTGTAGTAAGCGATACAACACTTGAAAAAAAATTTTAATGACAAAATTAACAAAAGTTATACCTAACAATTTATTTTATTCGGCTCAAAATTGTATTTAATGCTTAATATTATTTTATATACACACATTATTAGGTTCCTACTTCGAAACAGTTTATATTCAACGCGTTCCCCCCTAATTTACATCTCCTTACTCTCTATCAATGGGGTAAGCGTATATTATTAAGACTGGAACATATTTATTCACCAAACGAACACCCCGAATTATCGAAATCCGTTACCATTGATATTAAGGTTAATTTATGCAATTTTAAAATTTAAATCCAAAAAAAATAATTTTGACAAGATCGCCAGGCGAAGAAAACAAATTTTTCTAAATAGTTTTTGATCGAGATAAACAAATCTTCGCTTGAGTACTCTATCTGACATTTTCAAAAAAAAAACTATAATAGCCTCGCGATTGCAGTCCAAATTTTGACTGCGAATATCTTTTTTTATTAATACTCAGAAGCAATACTCAACCGATGTAGTGTTAGTTCATTTTAACAATTTTATTATATCGTTTAAAATAACATCTATATATAAAATAAAGATGTGATAAATTTAACCGGTGCCGGGCCTGGTCGAGGTTTTATTTTTTTACTCAGCCGGGTCCGATACTATCTTATAAATGATTAATATTTATTAACTCTTATACGGAGAATCTAAAAATTTAATTAGATATTTATCAATTCTATCATAATCAATGGCGTAGCCAGAATTTATTTAAGAAGAAGTTCGAGTTGCAGTTCTAAAAAATCTTGATTAGGGCATTTTTGACTTTCCCATCGTTATTTTTTTTGACTTTTTAAAATAAAATATTATTTTTTATAATCATATGATTTGCTCGATTCACAGTTTATTAAACTAACATTAATTTGCAGTTTAGTCATTTTATTAATTCTCTCTATTCTCAGTTTAGTCATTTTAATTTAACATTAATTTCTCGATTCATAGTTTGTCATCTTAATTTAACATTAATTTGCTCAATTTTCTCAGTTTCATCTTAATTTAGGATTAATATTTCTCAGTTTATTCATCTTGATTCTCAATTTAACTGTCAAAATCTATGCAAATTTTTCGTGCCTTAGATTCCTATGAGATGAGTGCATTGATCAGTCTAGTAGCCTGTATAACCCTGCATTCACAGTTAGCACGAATTGCAAAGTATTCAAAAATGAATGTGAAATTATTATATATATATCCCAGGATAAAAAAAAATTTGTTACCTTCATTGGCCAACCTTAAGTTTAGAAAGCGACGGAAGGCATTTATTCCGAGAATTTTATCAATGTTTAGTGCTTTATTTTATATTATTTTGATTCATTTGCTAGACAATATGAAGAAGAAAAGTTATTATTTAAATTATAAAAAATTGGCATCATGCCAGTATAAATAACTTGTTCCTATGCTTGACTAGTACTTATTAATTCCTCTATTCGAAAAAAATTCGAGTTTGGCAACACTTATAATAAACAATCAAAGAGTGATCCATTAGTACATTTTATCTGTTTGGGAGATATTTTAAAGGGGAATTTATTTTTGCTATTAGTATTATGCCAGAATGAAGAGTATGCTTGTGTTAATATGTAGTGTCTTACTTTTTAATCAATTTCGCCAACCACACTGAATTATAAGCCATATCACATCTTAAGCAGAAGTCAGCCAAATTTTTGGAAACCTTAACTCTAGAATTTATATCAATAATTAGGACGTGTTTAATATATTTTAATGCTTCAACCCGTTTGGCATTTAGTTTAAAGATAAGCGCATTATTGGTAAAATAAGAAAAACAAATGCCAAGATTGGCATCATGCTATAACAAAAATTATAGAAGCACTAAAAATCTAGGTATGGTATATGTAATGCCTAATTAGCACTTGCTATTTCATAAATCAGTTTTTCCAGTCAATAAACAGAAAATAGTTATAAATTAAATAAAAACTCCTTTGGCTGAGTCTTAAATATCGATTTTAATGCGATTCATTACATCTAATTGTCTACGCCATTTATAGTAATTATTAAAAAAAAATTTAAGATATTAAAATAAAAATGCTTATAAAATATAAAAATATTAATTATTTTATTTATAAAAAATATGCACCTTCTTTCTTGTGTGTTGTAATTTGTAAATATACTTTTATTATTTTATACTAAATTTTTAAAACAAAGAAATATGAATTTTTATAATATTCATTTTTTTAAATCGAATTAAAACCTTACCGGAATCAAATAGGGAAGATCTGCTACCAGATCATGGATCCGTTATGTCTCTGATATTAAATTGATACATTCAATCAAAATTTATTTTAAAATGATGTTTTATAATATATTTATTTTCTAACCCCTCATTTAAGATCAGTTCGTATTCGCGGCGTGGGATACAAAAATAGAGCATATTTTAGGTACTTAACCATCGCGCTAATTTTGAATGAGGGGTTATTTATCGAGAAATTTACAATTCAGGAATAAAAAATGCTAAATTTTATGGACATAAATTTATTTTCCTTTCATTTTTACGGTAAAATAAAATTTATTAATCCATTTTTTTTTTATAAAAAAAAGAATATATTTAAAACATTTACTGTCGAATCATACATCGAAATGAGTTTGGGTGTTAATCAAAATCAAAGCAGCTTACATAGGTATAGTTGGCCTACTAAATCCAACATCAATTTTAACATCAACACGGAAGAACGACAAAAAGATAATCAGCCCAATATCACCCTTAACCCGCTTGATATTAAAACTTACCTTTTAACGATAACTATGAAATCATAGGTTATTGATTTATATTCTTATTATAAATAATTTTATAGAAAATTATTTGTTCCGGGCCACAATTATTTTTTTACATCAAATTCATAAATATAAATGTAAAATTATTTTATATTTGCGTTCAAGTTAATAATTGTTTAAAATCTGGAAATAATTAATTTATTATCAATTCATTCATAATAATATTAAATATTGAATTTATTGTAAGATTAATAATGTTAAACATTTCAAAATTCGCTTTTATTTTTGATTCTAAAACGAATAATATAACAATTGCTTTTATTTTCTCCATTCTTGAAGATTTTTTTTAAAACTCGTTTGATATTTTACCAGTTCGCTACCCATTTTTTTAAAAAAAAAGGAGCCTCCCTTTTCTCTCCTACGATTCTTCTAAATATAAGTAATATTTTAATGATTTGTCCAAAAAAGTCATTTTTTCCCCTTATAAATTTATTAAATTCAATCATACATTATTACAAAGGCACATTCTCAATTATATTTGTATTTTAAAACATTCAAATAACAATTCATGATAAAGCAATATGGCTTCAAATATAATTATTTAATAGAAATAAATCTATCTAAAAATATCATTTTAATTAAACAATGAATTAGGACTAGGCTGGAGCAGGTTGTTATATTTTTAGAAGACCTTGTAAACCTGTTGTTAATTGGAAACGAAGCTTTTCGTAAGATGTAATATTAAAATATAAATCAAATACAACCGGTTCTTAAAAAAAAATTAAATTATAAAATTCGATATTCAAGTATATATGACAAAACATGACTATATTAATTAAATGCTGAGCACGGGCTAAGATTTAGGTTATTACTAGGGTTAGTAATTAAGTTATGATGTTTAGGATTGGAGCATTTTCACTTTATTCAATTAGCTACAAATACACAACTCTTTGAATTTTACATTATTAAGCAACATTACAATTATACGTTTGTTAGCTTATCCTGTGTTATATAATCACTTTCCTATAATAAAAATTATTTGAGGATTGCCTCGAGAAGTTTGTTAATGAACGATATATTATAAATTAATAAACGATCTATTAGGACATTGGAAAATTTAAAGAATTTTTTTGAAATCCACTATAAAAGAAGAAGCTGCCAAATTAGAACGAAATTATATTATATTATTAACTAGATAATTAGTTTTAATATAATTAGTATTGTTACCCGGAGGGAATTCATTAGAAGGGAATATTTCCAAAATTCTACATTTTTTTAAATATTTATAAAATTATTAAAAAATTTAAATCCTTTTCTTTATAAATAATCATAAATAGCTTGGATAAATTTATTCAAAATATTATTGTAGCTCTCACATTTAATAGTTTTTGTTTCTTAAGCCTGATAACAAATATATTTTATTTGACAATATAACTTTTCCCAAGATAGATTTCTTATACCTGGGCAGGGTTTCGAACCGTTTAGTATAACGGTTCGGTTCGTTCCGGTTTTTAGTTTAAAATTTTATAAAGGTTTTGTTCCATTTCGGTTTTTTAAAAAAATAATCATATCGGTTCGGTTTATAATTTATAACGGTTCTTTTCGGTTTGTTCCGGTTTTTATAAATTTAATTTTAAAAAAAATTAATCATTAACCATGTATATATTAATTTTAGAGAAAAATCTTTTTATAATTTCTTATTTAATTTAACCATGAATGATAATCTAATAGATATTTTTATTAAACTTAGTAAATATAAATTAGACAAATCAATTCTTTTTATTTCATAAATAAGATAAACACAAACATGCGCAAATACAATGAGGAATAAAATAACACATAAATATAATGAAATTTATATTATTTATTTTTAAAAAGAGAATTGGAACGGATAACTAAAATATTTTCTAATATTTCAGGATTTAATTTAGTTCTTTGCGCAGAGAGTATAAACTTAAGGCTAGAAAATGCTCTTTCTACGGATACCTGCGTAGCTGGAACTGCTAGCACAACCATAGCTAACTTATAAAGTTCTGGCATACTATTCTTTACATTTTCCCAATAATTCAAAAGATTTGCATCTTTTTCTAATCTCTCTATATTATCAAATGACCGAATTATATACTCTATTTCTACACATTTATTATAATTTTCTATGCCCTGAGAACTATTCTTATTAAGGCTTTCATGCGACATTAATAAATCTTCAAAATCATCATCTAAGTTATCTTTCGAATGTGAACACGTAGGAATAGTATCTAGATTTTCAATATTCTGATTATTTAAATTTTGGATTAAGTTCCAAGTTTTATAAAGATGTTTTTTGGCGATATCTTTTTCTTCAAATGATCAAAATACATTATATCTTGGATCGAGATATATAGCTGAGCAAAAAACTTCATTTTTCAAATTAATCTCTCGTGCTTTGATTGTACAAACTAAAAGTTTGGCAAATGAAGTGTCTATTTTGCTAGTTTGCATGATACATTTGATCCATGCTGCATAAAAATCGCCCATGGTCATTTGTTCACTTATTTTGTCAAAATATAAGATGGATATAAAGCTTTTAATATATCACTAATTATTTTCCATTCATTCTCTGACAAACATTTTTCACGATCATTACTTTGGCCGATATTTCTTGGCAAAAGTTTTTTAACTCTAATAATCTTTCCAACATTAAATAGATTGAATTCCATCTTGTGCAACAATCTATTAGTGGCTTTTTAAAATTTAATTTGGACAAAATAGACATTGTAGTCTGATTTCTTATTTTTTTGCAAATGTTTCTTGCTTTATTAATAATAACAATTTCATTTGAATTTTTTATGCAATCATTAATTGCTAATTGAAATGTGTGGGAGGCACATCTAATGCCCATTAACATGGATCTCGTATGAGGTACAAGATTAATACTTTCAATATTAAAAAAAGGTTCTTCATTTTCATTAACAATTATATCATCATTGTTATTTAAATTATCATTATCTAAATAATCATTAAGGATATCATCTTCATCATGATGTATTAACAGCTTGATTAATTTAATCATGTTAGCTGCATTGTCTGTGGTTATCGTATAAATTTGATCAATTCTTATTTCATGTTCGTTTAGAACATCTAGAATAATTTTTTTTAGATATTCTGATGTATGTCTTTCTTTTATCTCTTTCATGCATAACGTTCTTAATTTTATTTCTCCATTATCTATAAATTGAATATTGATCCCCAGTATGGACCTATCATATCGAGTTGCAATATCTAATTTTAACGATATAAGTTTTTGGTATATTTCTTTTTTTAAATTTTGCGAAAAATCAAATGCCATTTTTTAAATATTATTGCGTATATTTTCAGAATTGATGGTTAAATTACCACCCAATCCTACAATTATCGGATCTATAATATTTCTAAATGCTTTGTCATCAATTGATTTTATTGGTCTCCCATGAACTGTGATTAACTCAGTGCAGGAGCGGATTAAAGTGTCTTTATTAATATTAATTTGTATTGTATTAGTTTTGGTAAAAGCATTTTGAATTGTATTATGATTATTTGCATTTTTTGTTATTGTTTTTTTAATAGTCAAATTATCTTCTTTTTTTTTAATAATTTGAATTCCTTATCGTGGAATCTTTCTATATGTCGTTTAAGATTTGCTGCATGGTCCCCGGTTAAAACTTTACCACAGTTTTCTAGTTTACAAGTAGATTGATTTTTTACAATATCTAATTTAAAATATGATCGCACAGGATTTAACTTTTCCCGAACCATTTAATAGATACTAATATGCTATATGATGATGAATAGATCAGAATCTTTTATTATAAAAATAGAATAAATAAATTTCTTAATAGAATCAGTATAATTTTTTATTTATCTTATCTGACAAGATCTCCCCCAAAAACGTGAATTATATGCAGGCCTACCCTTCATATAATTATGCCGATTTTTTCCTCAAAGATACTAACAACAAACCTTGTACACAGATGAAACTAAATAAGTGAATGGAGCTTACTAATACCATTTTAATAAATAATTTGATTTAATAGAGAAAAGAAAGAAGCAAAAAGATAAGATATAAAATAAGAAGAAAAGAAATAGAAAAGCTGTTTAAAATTCCAAAAACAACTGTCTTTTATTAAAAAATTAAAGTTAATTAAATTAAAACTTTAATGGATACTTTATCATTTTATAATTATCCAATTGAATTTCATGTGTTTAAATTTTATTTGGTACTATAAGATTTAGAAGGTTAATCAGTAAGTAGTTATTATTTCAAGAAATTATCCACTAAAATGTAAATGGAAATAAATAAATAAATTAACCATAAAATACAGGAATATTAATTAACAATCATGTTTTTTTTTAATTTCAGAATTCTAATATTCATTTAAGTCATTATAAATTATTCATTATGAAAATATTAATTAATAAGAAATTAATATAAAACAGTATTTTATTAAAAGTAATCAGTACCTGATTTTCTTTAGATGTTAGTTAGAATTATGATTTTTCCCAAATTATTAGCAAGTATTAATAAGCTAATTAATAACTAATATACATATATATATATATATAAGAATAAACTTGTTAATTTAAATAATAGTCTTGTTTGATTTTAAGATTCTTATCTAATTAACTGGTAATTCGCCTAATCTCTATTAAATTGAGTATTTATTAAAGTGAAAAGAAAAAACAATAAACATGGTGGTATTAATTGACATGTAAAAAAAATTCAATTTAAAAAGAAATAAAGAGTTTAAAAATTTCCCCAAGGAAAATTCAAATTTCAAATTTAGGTTAATAATGTTTAAATTTAATTATTTTTTAAAATCGTTTTGAACCGGTTTAAACCGGTTTAAAATATTTATACGCTCTTTTTATAGTTTCTTTATAACGGTTCGGTTACGGTTACGGTTCAGAAAATTATAACGGTTCATTCCGGTTTGGCGGTTCGGTTGGGTTCGAAACCCTGTACCTGGGTATGATTTAATTAGTGTTATTAAACGACCCGATTTAGGTCGATTTTTGAATACAACCATGGACCTCTATTTGCAAAATTTCGAGGCTTACATAATATTTTAGCTAAAATCTTAATTGGGCCGTTTTTAAAAGTCGACCTAAATCTGGCGGTTTGACATCACTAGATTTAATTACAGTTAAATCAAGATTTTCTTATAAATAATAATGAAGTTTGGATACATTCATTCGTTCAGAATATTCTCTTAGGTTACATTTTATTATTGTTCCTTAAACCTAATAACAAATATATGAAATCGAGTTTTGATAATGTATTTTATTGAATATTTAAATGTATATTATTATTATATTTATCAGAGACCTGCAGACCCGGCCCTAAGCCCGGCCACCCGGGCCGTATTAAAATATAACCGGGCCGGGCCTGAATTTTTTTTAAAAACCCGGGCCGGGCCTGAAAATTTTTTTTTAAAATACTCGGGCCGGGCCGTATTTTTTAAAAAAATTTATACAACATGAATTATTATATTCGTCAATTAGATATGGTTATAGATTATATATAGTTATGATTAATATAATGTTTGGTGAAAGTTAACACTAGCTAACACTCATAGTATCTATTACATAATATAATTAAAGTTTTCCTGCCATGGAATAAATAAGCAAAGCATTAAATACATTATTATATAATATATGTTATATTTTTTATTAATTAAAATATCAGTTTTATTTTTTTTATAAATACAATTAATATAGTATATTCTCAAAATATTTTTTACACAAATTTTTTATAGTATCAATTTATAATATACTAAATATCTGTTTAGAATTAAAAAAAAATATGTAGTAGTGTTGTTAAACGGTTTAACTCACTTTTTTATCCAGAAAAATATTATGCAAGCCTGAAAATTTTGCTCATAGAAGGAACAAAGTTCTAGACATATAGTATTGAAATTTCGAGGCTTAGTCAATATTTTTCTGGTGAAAATATTGAGTTAGCCGTTTTTAAAAATTGGCTCAAAACGTATAACAACATTAGCTAATATGCCTGCTTATTAAATGATAATACTCGCCGAAAAAGATGATAAAATACCAAATAGATGAATTTTTTGTATATATCACGTAGAATATAATTTTAAAAAATTCCGATCCGGGCCTAAAAAAAATTTTTTTTTTAATCCAGGCCGGGCTGTAAAAAATTTTTGAAAAAAAAATCCGTGCCGGGCATTAATTTTTTTAATCCGGGCCGTGCAAATGGTACCTCTGCAGGTCTCTGATATTTATTATTTGAATTATAATTTATTTGTTGTTACTTGAATATAATAAAATTTAGTATACAAATTGGAAATTGTTGTTTGAAATTTAAACAATATCTCCCGTTTATTCACATATATTCTTATTTATTTCTAGAATTCCCATGAGAAGTTATCGCAAAAAATTCCCATGAATTTTACAACTATAAATATATTTGACCTATATTTATAATTATATATATATCTTAAACTGTAGTTTGAAATCAAGATTAGCAATGTGTTTGTTAAATTAATTGTGTTGGAGGTCATTGGTGTTTATATTTATCCATGTGGGGAGGAAGGGATGTGGATTTTTTTGAGGCTTCACTAATTTTTCGGTGGTTATCTTTATATATCTCCTCCAAAGTTGGCTGAACAATTGGAAGTACTAAATCTAAAATATTCCAGTGTATTGTGCGTTATTTGTCTAACACTAACCAGTATGGTAGCCAGCATAAATTAATAAATTATTAGTAATAAAAATTTGGCCAATCTTACGATTAAAAAGCAACTGAGCATTATTCTGAAATTTTTAACAAAGGTTTAGTGCTCAATTTTAAAATAATTTAATCTGTTTGGACATTAGAAAGAAAAAAAAATAGACAATATGCTAGAAATATTAAAAAAACTATCCGGCTTATGATAATATTTAATGCCTGACTAGTACTTTTAATTTCTCGATCTTATTTGGTAAATAATTGTTTAAATTACCATCACGCCTGAGCGGAGAATATAGAAGTTATAACTATCTGGTTTGTGTTATTATTTAGTGCCTTAATTATTAATTTCTTCATCAATTGATTAAGCCTTAAGCCTAAAGTCATAATAATTAGTGCGTATTTCATACTTTTTAATGCTTTAATCCATATGGTAGTTAGTCTAAAGAAAAATATTAATGGTAAAATAAAAATAGATTGACATCATGTTAGAAGAAAAATTATGGAGCAATGAACAATATGTTAGACATGATTAGTAGAAAAGATTAATAGGCAAACTTCACTAAAATTAAAACTACTTGATAATAGTGAATAAATAATATTTCATTTTATTCCACATATTTGCTTTTATGCTATACGTAGAATAAATTTTTTAAGGAATTATACTTTTTCAACAATATTAATTCTTCCGAAAAAAATATTTGTAAAGGATAAGTTATACCTGGGGAAGACGAGCTTTCCCGTGAAGCGCTTTTGAGCTGCTAGCATTGATTATCTCAAAATATGAAAATGATATTTGCAATTTATTGATAAAAATAAGCCAAAATGGAAATTAATTATAAAAATTAGTGAATTTAAACAAATAATAATGCAATAGGCATGAGCCCAAAAATAGCAATTACATGGGCAAAGACCCATAAATATTTTAGATACATTTATCAGATAATTGCATAATATAGTTTCTTTCACTTTCTTAAATATGTGTTTCGATGTGCACAATTTAAAACCTTGTTGTTTCATTATTCTTGATTTATATCGTTTTGCATAACCAAGTTTGTTTTATAATGGTTAGCAAGGACGGATTTTTATTAATAAGCTCATCTTTTATTAGTTGTTTCTTCTTTCTATTATGATTTATTAATATTCAAATTTCAATAAGTAAAAATAAATAAATTATACAATGTTAGATCTATTGTATTTATTCATTTTTCTGATGACATTATATAATTGCAACATTGATGTTGAGCAATCATGAGAATATGTATTGATAAATCATGATGGAATAAAGAAATTTATTTTATTTTTTAAAATTGTAAATACATATGACTAAATAACTAAAAATATCCATGGTATATATATAATATTTTATATAATATATTTGTATAGCTACATAACATAGAGGCCTTTCCAAAATAAGTTTTACAAAAATTAGAATATAAAAATATCTTGCGATAACACGTCAAATAAATATTAATTATACGAAAATAAAGAAAAGTTAAATCCATATTCAAAATATTCAACAATTATTTTAAAAACATTTATGCTATGCGCCGACGTGATTATTATAAATCGGCATTATTGGTGACCAAAAATATAGGCGGCCGGGGCACAGTTCTAATCATGCACAATTATATCTTTTAATATATTTAAAATATTTAGATAAAAAATTATAATAGTAAACCGGAATTAAATTTTCCCGTTAAATAAATGTTGGAAAAATGTCAAGAAAAACTTCGTTTAGACTAGACGCTATGAACAAAAATCAATAAAAAACGATATTTAAATAATAATATTCATTTTCCTGATCCCTTCTACAATCCAATCAATTCTCAATTTTGCTAGTAATTCATATTGCAAATATCAACAAAGTAATAATTTATTGGATCAGTATTTTAAATCAATAGAGTTTACTCATTAATGTGATTTTGGTCCCATCACTTTTCAATCAGCCTCCAAAAGTTTAAATAATAGTCTTCGAAGAAGTAAGTGTGGCTAACCCACAAGCGTGTAAAAGGTTCCTAAAAGGAATTTACCCAAATTTATTTTCAATATTTTGATGAAAATAAAGAATATCTAGCGTAGACAACCTTAGAAAGCGAAGCATTCACTGCAAGTAAAATAAATAAACCGATTTTTATCAGGTTATAATATACACCTGTTATTCAATAAATTAAGAACTATTAGTATGTTCGGTCGTAAAATATGTAATTTTACGAACGGTTTATTTGTAAGATATATTCATAAGACAACACCATCTTATAAAGCAAGAGCTGGTCGTTATCGTCCTACAACACACAAAACATTGCCTTTGACATATGAGCAATCTCAAGCTCCCTATTTAATAGGTGTTAGTAAAACATGGAATTCAATGAACACAAGTTAAAGTTACCTAACATGTTTATTTTTTATTAAGCAAATTTTTAAATTTATAATATATTTATCACCTAAAATAATTTAGTTTAATATTTATGTATGTATTTTCACATAATATTAAAAATTAGGTACAATAAATGAAGCACATGAACCATGTATTGCTGGAGATATTGCTATTCAAGATAACTTTATCAGAAAATTTATGTATGGCACATGGCCTAAACTTTTCGTCACAGAATTATTTATTAAACGTCGATATAACATGATCTTTATTGGAGGAATAGTTCAAAGAACAATAATACCTCGAAAACTTTATTTTTTAATTGGCTATACTGAAGAGTTGCTATCTAATTTCCTTAAATGTCCAGTTAAAATGGAAATTCAAACTGTTGATTCTATGAAGGATGTTATATTTAAATATGTTTAACAATTTTGATATGTGTACAATAAAAATCAACTTGCCTTTTCTTTTAAAATTTTGATTTAATATTGATTATGAATTATTTTAATATATTTTAAATAAATTTAATCAACTAATACATTTTTAGTTAGCTTAACTAAATGAACTTTAATATTTTAAAATTATAAATCTTTATATTTTGCACCTGAATTATAACATAATTTCATCAATTTAGTCTATCTTTTCTTTTATTTCCTTACCTTTTTATCATAATATAGATCCTATATGAAGCTGTCTAATTTAAATTTCAAATTCAGCACTATCTTCATTAAAGTTTATCTTCTTTCATTGTCTTTTTTATGTCATCTGTAAACAGAATTGTCACTCCTGAAATCCAGTTATATTTTTATAATTACATTAATGATAGTAAAAATGCAAAATTTTTGTAAATCTCTACTTTTATAGGGAAGCCAGCTGATGTATGTGATCTTCTAATATATTTTTCATTATTATATAGTGAAGATCATGGTCTGGTCTTTGGCCCACACTGGATAGATAGACTTGGGTTGGGCCAGAACTTGTTCTTTAAAAATATCGAACTAATACATGTTCCTATATAAAAAGACTGGTCCAGGATCCATCCTTTTATTTTTTGTTATTTTAAGGGCATGACTAAAATACGCACTTACTATGAAAGAAGCTTAATTTAATTTATATTATTTTAGAATCGTTTTTTTTATTCAAAAAAATGGTAACATATTAAAATTTTAAAATAATTATTTTTTTACATGACTAAAATACGCGCCCCCTATTAAAGAAGCTTAATAAAAAATGAACGTAGAATCATATAGAGGTTATTAAAAGGTTTAAAAAAATGTTAATATTATATTTTAAAACTTTTTATAACCTAGTGGGCTTTTGAAAAACAAATTTTTTTTGACTAAACTACACGCCCCCTATCAAAGTAGCTTATTTCATAAAAAATTATAGCATAATCGTATTAAGCTCATTAAGAGGAATCAAAAATGTTAATATTAAGTTTATAAATAATTTATAACTTATTGAAATTTGGAAAAAACACTTAATTTCTTCTTTTTTTCACTAAACTACGCGCCCCCGATATACATAATTTTTAAAAAATAAATACAGAATCATGTATAACTTTTCAAGGAGATTCAGAAAATGGTATTATTTATTTTTTAAAAAAATATTTATATTATCAAAAAAAATTTTTTTTGACTAAACTACGCGCCCCCTATCAAAGAAGCTTATTTCATAAAAAATTAAAGCATAATTTATTTTTTTTAAAAAAATATTTATATTATCGAAAAAAAATTTTTATAACTAAACTACGCCGCCCCCTATCATAGAAGCTTATTTCATAAAAAATCATGGCATAATCGTATTAAACTCATTAAGAGGAATCAAAAAATGTTAATATTATAAATTATTTATAACTTATTGAGATTTGAAAAAAGCATTTAATTTCTTCTTTTTTTTTGACTAAACTACGCGCCCCCGTTGAATATACATTATTTTTAAAAAATGAATACAGAATCATGTATAACTTTTAAAAAAATCATTTAATTAACTATGAAGTTAATATTATAAAATCAGCCCATAAGGTTAATAGGAGGTCTATTTATTTGAATATTCTCATAATTTTTTGATGAGTTTTCTTTTGATAAAGTTGAAAATACAAAAAACCCATCTTTTTTGAAAACTTATATAACATAAATAACCAGGGCTCGTATTGATTTATAGCTTGATTGGGAAAAATCAATTTCATTGACTAGATCCTATTAATAATCTAAGCTAAATTCTGCATAAGTAGCGTTATATTTACCAAAAAATTTCTATATTTCTAATTATTTTTTTTATTGTGTTAAAAAATAATGTATATTCAACGGGGGCGCGTAGTTTAGTCAAAAAAGAAGAAATTAAGTGTTTTTTCCAACTCTCAATAAGTTATAAATCATTCATAAACTTAATATTAACATTTTTGATTCCTTTTAATGAGCTTAATACGATTATGCTTTAATTTTTTATGAAATAAGCTTCTTTGATAGGGGGCGCGTAGTTTAGTCAAAAAAAATTTTTTTGATAATATAAATATTTTTTAAAAAAAAATAAATAATAACATTTTCTCAATCTCGTTGAAAATTTATACATGATTCTGTATTCATTTTTTAAAAATAATGCATATTTAAATGGGACGCGTAGTTTAGTCAATAAAAGAAGAAATTAAGTATTTTTTTCAAATCTCAATAGTTATAAATTATTTATAAACTTAATATTAACATTTTTTGATTCCTCTTAATGAGCTTAATACGATTATGCTTTAATTTTTTATGAAATAAGCTATTTTGATAGGGGGCGCGTAGTTTAGTCAAAAAAAATTTGTTTTTCAAAAGTTCACTAGGTTATAAAAAGTTTTAAAATATAATATTAACATTTTTTTAAACCTTTTAATAAGCTCTATATGATTCTACGTTCATTTTTTTATAAATTAAGCTTCTTTAATAGGGGGCGCGTATTTTAGTCATGTAAAAAAATAATTTTTTTAAAATTTTACTGTTACCATTTTTTTTAAATAAAAAAAACATTTCTGCCTTATCTTATGAAGCTAAATACGATTCTAAAATAATATAATTTAAATTAAGCTTCTTTCATAGAGGGCGCGATCCTGTCTATTTTAAGACTGATAGGACAGGACAATTGATCTTTACTATTATTATCTTATCATTATATTTTTTTGTTATTAAACGCTCAAACATATTATTATTCATAAAGCTTTATCTTTTTTGTTTAGAATAAATAAATCAGTCTGACAAAGTTTTTTCCTCGTGTTGTCTATTGATCATAGATACATCTCACCCACTTCCAACTTCCCATCACCATAAACCTATAACAATGAGTAAAAAATTTCTTGATTTATTTGGTATGTTTGTCTTATCAATTATAGTGTTGAACACAAAGCATTTAATATTATAAAAGCTTAGAGCTTTGGGCTTGTTATAATTTAATCTGTTTATTTTTTTTCGCTACATCTTTGAACATTTATTGCATCTACTGTTTAATATTCTGAAAACTTGATATAATCTAACTTAATGTAATAACTATATATTTTGTAACTCTAATCTATCTTCAACATATACTTGTCATCCACATATAATCATTTGTTATCACATTTCTACATCTAACTAATCAATTTTGTCTCTATATTTTTTTAAATTTCTCCTTTACCCTACCTATCAGATATATGATAGATATTTTTGATTCTTGCCTTGTTATTTTAGGACACTTGTTCCTAAAATACATTTCCCATTTACTTTTTCCCTCCTCATACTTTCATCATGACATAAAGGCTTCTCTATTCCCTTCTCCCTTCAGATGTTTCTCTGTATAATTATATATATTACCCAATTTTTCCCATTAATCAGGATTTCAAATCTATTATAACCAATCTCGTGCTATCATTTAAAACGATACTTTAAAATTTTTTTTTATTGAAATCATCATGCAGTACTTATTTTACTTATACTAACAACACTGTTAGCTGAAGATGATTGTTTATCTTTTTTTTATTGATAAAGGTATTTCAATTTATAAGTAAAATGTTTGAACAATCTTGAATATCCCTTAAAAACTATTTTTCTCTAATTGTTAGATAATCTCATCTTTCAATTAATAATATTTTATTGAGAGGAAACCACTGTCATCTAAATAATTACTTTAACATTATATCAATGAGATCAGCATAAATAAATATATTATCAATTCATGCTATATTTTACATTCATTTAACTCCTGTTATTTGATTTACACCTCTGTTAAATCTGGTTGTATAAATTCTCCTTCCTTAACTAATGAGGGCTTTTATAATTTAAATGATAATTTTATCTTAATTTATAGGTTTGATATCTTCAAAAAAAGTCAAAAATTGAGTAATTTAAGATTTTATTTTAAAATGTAAAATATTTTGTGGATTCACCAAAGGTGATATTTAACGAAATATTCAAAATCGTGAAGACAAATACACGATTTGTGTTTTTAAAAAATCGCGGCGACTAGCTTTTACAACTCAAATCACGCGATATGATATTTACTGTATTTTGTATTTATTGCGTCCAAATCGCAATCGCGCCACTATGAATATAGGGTTAAGCAGTGGTGTAGAGAGGGAGGGTTTGGGATTGAAACCCCCCCCCTCCCATAACCTCCAAAGAAAAAAATTTCTAAAAAATTTTTTTCTTATTGCAAATAATTTTATTTAAAAAATGGTTTCAATTTATAAATAAAATTATGATATGAAATATATTTAAAAAAACATATTAAAAATTATATGTAAAATATTAAATAAAAATATATTGTAAATTTTTTCTTGCATAGTTAAATTAGATATTTATAAATTTAATAATAAAATTTATATTGTTAAACTAATTAGATAGTTTTAAAAATTTTAATTTAAATAAAAGAAAAATCATTTAATTTGGGAAATATAATGAGAAAGTAAAGGTGATCACTAATATGTGTTTAACCCCCCCCCCCTCATGGATCAATCCTGGCTATGCCACTGGGTTGAAAATTTAAGAAAATATATATAATTTGAATGTTTCTGCTAGTTTCACAAATGTACTAGATGAATTATCAATCTTAATGATTCTCAATATAATATTATAAATATTATATCTACATCTCATATCTTACAACTTGTGGTAGATCATGCATTAAAAAATTGCTGATTCTATTATTATTAAAGTTCGTAATGTATGCAAGAAGCTAAGGACATAATCAATATCAATCATGCCAAAAAAAATTAAACTTAAACAGACCTATATTGGATTGTCAGTTATCAATCTATGACGTGCTAGAGAGATTGAATGAATTTCCTTTTATTTTGAATTTAATTATGCTAAAAATCATAATATATTTTTTAAATATCCTCTTTTAAACATACAATATTAGTACTGTATGATAGTCATAATGAAGGTAAAGAATTTCCCATAAAAAGTGAAAACCCAAAATAATTTTAATAAAATATAAGGAAAGATTTA